TACCCGACAGTAGAGGGAAGTATGGACTCCAACCGATGTCTGTCGAGTATGTGATCAGTATATCACCCGGCTATTCAGCAAAAAAAAAGTCAAAATTAATTTTATTTAAATTTAATTTTGTAGAAATTGTAAAATACCTGAATATTATCGGCTTCAATAATATCTTCTGCCACACAAACTCTTGCCTTAACTGTTCCCAAACTGACAGGAGTTCCACTCAATTGAAGTGAACCTTCCTTTATATGGTTGACACGAATTGAGTCTTCAAACTAATACACAAATAATAATCACACGGTTTAGTAATTATGAAAAATTGTTTCATTGATATGACGAACATTTTTGGGTCTCATTTCTGGTCCTTTAATAATCTCTTCAAACTTATATCTATCCATTTGTGTGAAGAGGCGTCTTCTGAGTCTAGTTTTGGACAAAAGCAACGCATCTCTGTCTCCATTACACAGCCTTTCGATCTCATCGATTGTCAGGAAGAAGAAGGTGTCGATCGACGGTATGAGTCCTTCCGATACCATAGTTTGCGCTAAATATCGGAATCCCTTTCGTATCCTATGGTTAAACCAAACCATAAAACCCTTCGACACCTCTCGATATCCGACACCCTTTCGACTCCACGGGAGGAATACTTTCCTCAGTAGATATCGTCTCCAGAATGACAGTGGAGTTCGTAACTCATTGACCACTTCATCGACAGTCTTGATCACTTTTGGTTTCAAAAAAGTATCACCACCAGTTAGGATTCCCTTAAGAATAATACAATTAATATACAAATTATGATAAATAGTGAAATATAGTAAATGCATACTTTTATATTCTTAATGCAAGGAATCGGGTTGTCTTCCCATGGCTTGTGGTACGGATCCATCTCTTTATATCCTCTGTGGCCATGAATTTGCAAGAATTCTTTGAACAGTTGTGAGGCCTCGTCGGTGCCCTTCTGTAGCATTTCCAGTGCCTTCTCATCACTCAATTGTCTGAACCCTTCCTTATCTCTAATAGATATTGCGATTTCTCGCAACCGATTGGGCACTTCAGCGCTGATTACTTCATCACACGACGAGATCATTGAATTGAAGTCGATCTCTAGGTTTGGATTGTCCTCTGAATTATGAGATAAATATATGAATGAAATGAACGGATGTTATAATAATTGAATCAATACTTTGTGCGGTTTCGAGAATATATCTCAAAATGCCATTCTTAATGGTGGAGCCCTGACTGGCCCAACTGTGGTTAAAAAACATGACGTCCGTAACCACATACTCCTTCATGAGACCGGCGAACACCTGTTTGGCACCGGAGTATTGTCTCAGTTTGGCCGCCATATCGTATTTACCCATATGTTTGTCGAGTGTGTTAAACATTGTCTTTCGGCCGAATAGGAAAATGTTTGCATAATATTTAAGTGTTGGCCATAACTTGGGTTTATTCACGTATTGACGCCTTTCCCTAAACATTTGCAGCACATCCTTATCGGTGATGTGGTGTCCAAAGAAAGCCAATACTGCATACTCGGCTGATTTAGATTCCGGGTAATCGTAGAATCTCGCGAATGAATACTTTTGAAGAATAGAAAATAATTTAATTTTACAGTATATTAATAGATTATATTGAAAAATACTTACATTGGTGAGATTGAAAAATAGTTGATTATAACAACAGCCCATAAAATCGATGTATGGGTTGTAGTCCTCCATTGTGGCCGATGGGTCTGTGTCCAGGACTTCCCTCTGAATCACATTAAATGAGTGATATTTTACAAGAAATCAAATTAATTACAATTTACTTACAAATATTGAGCTCTTATTGGCCCAAAGAAAGCTGAAAACGAGACAAGTAGAAGCACCAGGGTAATTCTCGCCCCAATGTGCTCGAGAATATATTTCAAACTCTGTGGGGTGAGCAGTGTCAATTTCATGCATTATCTCGTAATCGGTGTAAGAGTTGTCTAAATTAGTTACGGGTCTCGACTGAAGCATAAATATTTGGCCCCCGAATAGACCCCACTCTATATCCCTGGTGTTTCCATAATGCGATTGAATCTATTAAATCAAATTAATTAATTTTATAATTTTATGTGTATTTTAAAACTGACTATTAATCCTAAATCTCCCAAACGGTATACGTCTTCATCACTAATACAACAACTATTTTGATCTTCAATTTCTTCCTCAACAGTGCCCCCACTCTCTGATAACTTTATTATAGTCTTCTTCTGTCCGATCACTTTATCCACAATTCCTGTGATATGTCTTCTCTTGGATAATGAATTGGACTCAATATTAACGGACAATCTTATTGTGTCCGGTTCTGAAGACGCGGACACCACTGACTGTGGGATTGAAAGTCATATTAATTATAAACTAATTGCTAGTAATAGTGATNACAGAAATCGGTGGAACCATATCTCACGGGGCAGTCATTGCCAGAGAATACGGTATTCCGAGTCTAATAGCAGTGGAGGGCGCGTGTCGTGCCTTCAAAACCGGAGATATTTGTGTTTTGGACACTCAGTCGCAGACCATTACTAAAGTCGAGTAAACCTAATGTTATAATATAATAGGAAATTCCTAATGGGATAATAACTAATTAACAACTATTTTTTAAAAGTTAATTATATTTAATTCTTTTATAAATATTTTATACTTTTAAATATAAATAAAATCTGAACAAACATTTCATTAACATTTTTAAAACAGTGTTCAATACATTGTATTTTATTTCACAGATTATTGCACTTTATTGTCATTTATTATATTCTTTGTTAACTTATAGGTGATACTGAATGTTGATTTAGTATTTTAATTGTTTATAAAGTATTTATAAAGGATTCTTTAACTTATATTAGTTTAAATATCAAGTAAGTAATCTCATGTTTTAGTCATAATTTTTATGTTTTACAAAATGAAATTTAAAAACAAAGTTCAGAGTAATTGTTTGGAAGTTTATGTCTTATTCTTTATGTTTTGTTGCTTACCTTCTAATGGCTTTCAAATAAGAGATACTTTTAAACCAAATTCAATTAAATCTACGAATTTTATCCAAAAAACCGGATCCACGTCAACAAACTTGGAGACATTGAATTCTATGTCTCAAACGCCTAGTAAACAGCCTTTCCTTTCTGACCACTCAATGGGATGTGGTGTTCAGCCCCCGACAAAAAGCGGGCGAATAGTCTCGGGTCATAAGTCTTCATTCGGGTGGTGGCCGTGGATGGTGTCCGTGAGGCGTAACTCCTATTTCGGGGGTAGTAGTAGTCATAAGTGTGGGGGCGTTATACTCAACCACCAGTGGATCGCAACGGCCGGTCATTGTGTCGACGATTTACTTAAAACACAAATAAGCTTAAGAATAGGTGAATATGACTTCTCCAACACTTCAGAGCCCTATCCACACATCAAACGTGGGATCAAGAAGAAGATAATTCATCCCAACTATAATTCAATGACTTATGAGAATGATTTGGCGCTCATCCAAGTGGACGAACCCATTGACTTCGGGGCTCATATAAAGCCCATATGTTTGCCACCGGAGGACACGGATGACCTGTCGGACAGAAACGCCACAATCACCGGATGGGGTCGTCTAAGCCAAGGTGGAGAGAGAGCAGCGGTTCTGAAAGAAGCCAACGTTCCGATTGTCAGTAACAAGAGGTGCGAAGAAATGTTCAAAAGTGTCGGACGAAATGAAGCCATTCCCGAGATATTGATGTGCGCCGGTTATGATAAGGGAGGACCAGATTCATGCAATGGTGACAGTGGGGGCCCACTCCAGGTTCAGAATGATGAGGGTCACTGGTTTCTGGCCGGTATAGTGTCATGGGGTATAGGGTGCGGTGAGCCCTCACAACCGGGTGTCTACACACGTGTCTCAGTGTTCAGGCAATGGATTCACAATTATATTCAACACTATTAATTGTAATTATTTTAATTCAAGTCATTTGTATAAAAGTACTAAAAAACTATGTTTAGTACATTTATATGACCTAAACACAATGTATATTTAATTTAATTCTGATATAAAATCATCACAAATTGCTTAATAATGTACCGGCTTAGTGTAATGGGTTGACCTATACTTAGAATTTATATTTTCTATAATTGTTTGAATTGAGTGTTAAGGACAATGTAAATGTACTGTAATTTATATCTAAATACAATGTTAACAATCAGTTTGTTATATGCAGAGGAATGCTAATTAAAAGTTCAAAATATATTTACAAACCTTGAGAAAATATTATTGAACATAATACATTTTATTGATTATAAACTTTTTGGTATATTTCTGAACATTTTGGTATAGTTTTCATAAAAAGTTTATATTAGATAAATGTAAATATTTTTAAATCTAATTTACAATCGTCTAAAAAAAAGGTTACATTGAAATCATAATTAATCAATTTTGTATAATAAATATTTAATTATAAATAATAAGATAATTTTTAAAATTATAATAAATTATTCTTGGTTAACTTATATAAATATTAAAGTTATTCTATGGTGCTAAAAAAGTTAACACATATATTACTCTGTGTATATTACTCTGATATATTACATATCCAAGAATTTTTATTTACAATTGTTATACTAGTTACTAGTAATAATAAAATAATATGTATAAAATTTTAAAATGTAACTTTTTATTTATCCTTTAACCATAAAGAAATAATATGAAATATAATAATTAGTCAATTATGCCACATATGGTATCCTATGAGGAATTCACTCGACTTTAGTGATGGTCGAGCTCTGAGTATCCAAAACACAAATATCTCCGGTTTTGAAGGCACTACAGGCGCCCTCCACTGCTATCAGACACGGGATACCAAACTCTCTGGCAATGACTGCCCCGTGAGATATGGTTCCACCGATTTCTGTGATAATACCCACAGTAGAGGGAAGTATGGACTCCAACC